CATTCAACGGCAAAGACACTGCCGACAATTTGTAACTATTAATTCATGCACGTATTCAACAAAAACACCGGTCCCATAATATAATTATTTTATCCGAAAATTGAAACTTCAATATACTTGACAACATTTGTAGCATGTGAACCACCTGCAATTTCCTCTAGAATCGTAGAAACCAATAAACCTGCTTGCATAAGGCAACTCCCAGTTTCCAAATTAGATTACACACATATTAAACATATTGATTATATACCCTAAATATTATTTAAAATAAGTAATTCTATAACTTCAGCGAGTTGTTTGTCCGTCCGGCGGACCCACCATAGCCTGCAAAGTGAAATACCTGTCTCTATCCGCAGCTGTAACGCTGGTCACATGTTGAAATTGACAAGGTATAGATATTTGGCTTTTGGAAGCAGGCCTTCTAGGCAACTCTAGCTGCTGCAATTGCTTCCTACTGCCGCAGGTATTGGAATTCTTCTTGTTTTTCTTGTTCTTCTTGCGTCCTCCTGCGTTAAGACGAATGTTCTCTGGATCAGAGACAAGACGTTCAACGCGAGCCCATGTCTCTTTGGCGGCAGCAGCACTATCGAACGATAAGCCAACGAGGACGCGATGGTCTGAGCCCAAACACATTGTATGGAATGCCTAAAATAAAAATTTGATAAAAAATTGCTTTGCTGTAAAGATTTATAAAAGCTATTTCTTTTTAACTTCTCGAAGAAAAGGTTTATGTTTTCACGAAAATATCGTATTTTCTTTTTTTTTTCTTTCTACGATTGAAGGCATTCTTTTAAACGTTTCACACCAAATTTTATAAAAGTAGGTTTGTACGAGTATGACAACCGATTTTTGACTTTTCGTCAACGTTTTCTCAAAAACGGCTAACCGGATTTGAAAAATTTAAAAGCCATTTTATAAAACTCGATAAGTACTTGCATTGGTGAACTTTTCCAAGAAAAGCGGCCGAACCGTTTCTTTAGAACAAACAGGAAAGTGTAAATTTTTGATCTTTTTGCAAAAAATTCTGAACCGATATTTAAAATTTCAAAACTATTCGAAAGATATCATTTGAGAATCGGGCTGATTAGTTTTTGGCAAAGATCGGTAAGGTCAATAACTTCTTGATTAAATGTTGGCAATTTTTACAGCGTTTTTAATGAAACTTACAATGGCGGTCTAAACGGATATCTTAAAATATTATAGTCTTTCAAAAGGTAGTTGAATTAAAAAAAATTATACCGTGTAAAATTATAGGCCGCTTTTTTAAAATACACAAGCCATTGTATGTGCACTATATTTAATTCAATTACGAATATTATAAGTTTGTTTGAAGCATATCAATCTGAAATCGCATATATCGATTTTTAGTAAAAGCGTAAACTTTATTTTCAAAATAAATGGATCAAAATGTTGTCTAAATAGCTGATCACAATTATTATTGATTAAGTCGATTATTTACACATATCGGAAACTATGTATATGCAAGTTGCCTTAATTAATCCACTTCCACTTACATCTAGGTTGAAAGTGGTTTTATTGATAGTACATAATTATATTATAGTATTTCTTTTAGAGCTAGTAAAGATCTTTACTCGAAAAACTCGAGTTTTTTACGTTGAAGTTATTGCTAGAATTGCCAATATTGCTGGTTTCTCAAATTTTTAAAAAGTTTGATGTAAATTTGAGTCAAATGTTCAAAGAATAAAAATCTGCTAAATACATAATTGCGACACCTAGAAATCATAAGAATTTTTTTTTTGAGTGACATTACAGATAAGAAATAAAACTAGGTGTAAGTGGCAATTTCCTTAAAACAAGATGCTTTAACTTAAAATTAAAAATCGCGTCCTATTCTTGCAAACTTTAATGAATTTTTAAAATTAAAACATTTTTCGTTCATACACTTTGTAGGATATTTTAGGACATTAGTTATGCTCTGAACTTAATATCATACAAAGTTTCACCAAAAACGTCAAAAAATATCAACAATTACTTACGAAAAAAAGCTCCAACAGATCTTTACCAATCTCTCAAATGGCCAAATTTTCCGATCGATTCAGGATCGGTTTTGATTCACCAACACAGACACACTTATACACGCATCAATAATTTTTCAATTTCGGCGTCAAACGATTCAGAATGACTTAAAAACTCGAAAAAAAAACAAAATTGACAAATCGGATTTTCTCGTGAAAAATGTAAACTCCATCGTTGGAACCTCAACGTGACCCTTTTCAGAAAAGGGGAGAGACTAAAAGGTTAAATAAAACACCCTTCACAAAATTAAAACAAAAATAGATATAATAACAACAAAAAACATTATTGTTGAACTAAAAATTTAAACTTACAACTAACCATGTAAACAAATTTATTAATTTATTAATTTATGAACAAACTACGACTCTGCCAAACACAGTGATAAACAGGGCTATTTTAATAATATAAAGTTGTTGCAAGTGCGGAATTCAACCTTGTGAACTTGCGAATTTACTTTTATTAGTATCTACATTTATTACCTGGCCAGCATCTCTATAATCAGAAAGATGATCGACAGTATCTCGCCACAAGGTAAAGCATGTTCCTCGCTCTGCCAGGATCAGCTGAACTCGAGGTTCCGACCTGGATCTGCATATTCCAGCGTCATGCAGTAGAACAGGGACACCAGTAAAACGCAGCGACCATTCGCCGCAGCCACCTGATGCGGTTTGAGTCGTTGAGTAAAGATTGGCAAGAGACGATGATACGTATACCTAAAGGAAACAGTAAATTAATCAACTGTTTTTATAATGGTGCGATTTGGAATTGAAACTAGTGTTGCATGGCATCGTGTCTTAAGGTAAAATGTTGGAACTTCCATACATTGTTAAAAAATTTTGAATATTTTTCCAAGCGATCGCGCTGCTTATCTGTTTTAAAAACCAAATTGCGAAGCGCGTATGCGCCGCACAGTCTGGTATGGAACCACTAGAAATGAAAACAACATTTTTACATGTTATTAAAATCATTTTAAAGTATCTGATTTGGCGGTAACCATATTTTTTCAAGTCAAGTCAAAACCGGGACGGGGGCGTCGGTGGTATTGGCATTAATAACAATAACAAATGCTATTTAAACCTATACTAAAAACTCAGGTTATTTGCATGAATATTTTTTTAAGAGGGTTGTTCGTTTTTTTTTACAAAAAATGCAAGGTATTTGTTTTTGTTTTTCTCGAAATGTATTTATCATAGAGACATGCGGTTTTTTTAAACAAAATTACAAAATCATAGAATATTACGAAATTCTCTTTTTTCTTTTTTTTGCTATAATTTTTTAACCAGGGGGCGACAAAGTCGGCCTTGCAAAATGGATCTCTTTTGCGGTGCCACAGATAAATCCGTTGCGCATCGCCTGAAACAAAAAAAAAGAAACTACGTTGAAGAAGAAGTTTGAATTCAGTCCCCCTACCAAAATGAAAGAAAAAAAGCAAGGAGGAAAAAAATGGCAGCTATTTAAAAAAAATAGTGTCAAAAAAACCTTTTTTTGGGGCTAGAAGCTTCGCAAAATTTTTTTGCGTAATGTTATCAAGTTGTTTGAGGTAGGGGGACGACTAAGTATTGCAGTGGTGAACAAATTAAAAAAAAAATGCAAGTCGATCCGACTTGTAGTTTTTTTTAATTTGTGGCACCTAATTGAAAATAATCAATTTGAGAAAAACGTATTTGAAGTTTTTAATATAATATACTAAATACACCATTTAATTTAATGTACTAAATACACCATGGTGTTCAAAGATGCTGATACATTAAAAAGGTCATGTGCATGGGTATTATAATGAAGAAGAGAGCAGCTGGCATACAATAGCTCGCGGAGCGATGTAAAAACGGTTTCAGAGGATCATACATATAGAGATATATATATCTATAACTTCGTCAAAAAAATAGATATTGTAATGATTTTTTTTTCTAAGGTTTTTAGCTTTCATAATATCAAAAAATCTCAAAATCAAAAAAAAAAAAATAATAAAAAACCAAACAACCCCCTTAATCAGAAATGCGGACTTTTAGTAAGACCTTTATTATTCAATTATATGTAATACTTTTTATCTATGTTTTTCTCGCTTTTGAGATTTGTATAAAATTCTATTTAACTTTCTTTTAATTAATTTGAAAAAATTGGCACTTCTAGTAATTCATATTTATGTTATTCAATTAAGTAATATGTTTATATATAAAACTTAATTATTCTGTAAAATAATCTTTTTTAACTATATATTCATATATTTTATATATATTTATATGTATATATATATATATATATATATATATATATAATAAAATAATTATATTATTAATAATTATTCCGGTTATTTACTTATATATAAACTATTTAATTACCAATAAATTGTTGTTGGTTAACTTAATGATTTATATATATTTATATATTCGTTTAGTTTTAAAATTTTCGTTAATTTACCTATTAATTTTCGAAAAAGCGGGACAATCAGGGAAAAGGATCTAAATACGGGCCAAATATTGCTTTAGAAAAACTTGGGATACAGGATGAAAATCTGGGATTGTCCCGGCCAAACCTGGACGTATGGTCACCATAATACTACAGCATCTATACACATACACACACATACATCAATTTTTTCGAAATTTTTTAAAACTGGTTTAGCATCTGAAAAATATTTTATTGCTGTTAAATGGGCGAGGTTAAATATATAATATTTGTGAAGCAGGCGCGAACAATTGATGAAATATCTACTTTTATTGCTTATACTCGTATAACATCATTAGATCAATTCTGTATATCTTTCAGATCATATTCGAAATTTTATGATATTTTACTTTCGATATAAATCTCGAATTTATAACGTTGACAAGACAACCAATATCAATTATTTACGGTAGTCGTAAGTCCTTAACCAACAGCTTATAGAACATATAAGAGTTCTGATTGCTGTTCAAACAATAAAAAAAATATATTTACGTATGACCTTTGTTAGGCCTTTCAAGATGAAATAACATCTTCATACACAAAATAGGCCTCTGTGACTTGAAAGTCTGTTTCTTGAGAGAAAAATTTTTGTTTATTTTTCATTTTTTTCCTTTTCATTAGTTTCAGTTCCTCTATTTGTTTTAAGTTATCGTTTTGTATTTAAAGATTATTTAAAATATTACATACTTTTCCAACAAATATTCTCAATTTAATTTACTAACAGAATATTTAAGGAACACAAAATAGTTAAGATAATTTTTTTCATGACTTATACTAAAGACTTCTGAATGGGACGTATTCGAAATAGGCTCACATAATTATTGGAGATATGGAATGATATCGGATTGTAAAGAAAATTTTACATTGCTCAATTTTATTCATCTAATATATTTGAAAAAACAACTTTTCAACAGTTTGTTGATATTAATTCATAATTTTTAACGTTACCATAAAATAATTGACTTATAAATAATAAATATATCTATTATCTTTTGATCTGGATGACAAAAATCTGTCTTGTATACATGAGGATACTTACCTCAGTCCCAAGTCCGCTAAAGAAGGACTCGATCTGTTGCATTTCGTATTCCTGCAATTCCCCGCAGTCCTGCTGCTGCAAAGCGTCCACGCATTGCCGCTGTAAGACGGCAGCTTCGTCGGCAACCGCTGTCCAGAAAGGTTCCTCCGGGCAGACCGGCGAGTGACCGTCACGATGGGCGTGCGGGCCATCTGAGTTGCTGCCGCGGTCGCTGCTCGCATCGCTACCGTCGGATGGAGGTGCGCTGCTGTCGCCGGTGGAGGAAAGACGTTTTCGAGATGGGGGAGACATCTGGAATGAAGAAATAAAATGTAAGATATTTATTATTTATATACACATTTATTTTTTTATAATATTGCTTTAAGATAAAGATCAAAAAAATACTAATTTAATAATAACCGTTCTTTTCTTGATATAGAGCAGGGATACAAAGGTAATAAATTGACTAAAAATTTGACTAAAAATCATACTGTCTAAACCAAATGAACTTCATCACAACACATAGCACATATTAGGGAATGCAAAACCGGTATACCGGTATTTTACCGGTATTTACCCCAAAAATACCGGTATTTTCGGTATTTTTACATAAGCGCTATTTGATACATAATACACTAAAGTTTAAATTTCTCGGAACAAATTTATCTTTAAATATCATAATCGCATAAACAGCTATATCTTCAAGTGATTTTATAAAATAAACAAATGTTAAATATTATCCCAACTCGTCATTAAACTAAATATTTATTGCTTTACTAAGTGTTACAATAAATAGAATTGGACCGATAGATAATGATGTTTGTTTCATCTTATGTAAAAATGTAACGGTTTTTTAAGTGACATTTGCGCTAAAATTTGCGTGATCCTTATTTTTTTCTAACTTTATACATAATAATTGTGATAATTACTAAATATTTTTGCTTCTTATTACAATTATAAAATATTATTTTTCAAAAACGTTTCGAAGTTTGAAAATACTATAGAAGCATCACATTGTTTTAAATAACAATTCTCAACAATTATAGTAACTTATTATTTATCTCAACAAAGTATCCAATCTTAAATATTGTTTAGTTGAATATAGTTGTAGTTGTATATACATTTTTTTTATATTTGTCTAATAACTTTCAATTTTGTTTACGTTTGTTCAAGATAATAAAAATACCGGTAATTTACCGGTATTCCGGTTTTAAAATAAAAAATATTGAAATTTTCCATCGGTATTGCATTCCCTAGCACGTATCAAACAAGCAACAACCGAACTATGTTCATGTTAATTTCATGTTATAGAAATTCAGTTGGTCCTTTTTATGACACCCACATTTAAGCTTTTGTAGAGATTATATAGAAAATATGTTGAATCAAATTTAAAAATAACAGTGCGTCTTATAGAACAATGAAATGACATAGACTTATAAATTGCATTAAGTCTCGTCAAGTGCTCATGACCAATAAACACTAACAACGCAAGAAAATTTCTTTTGTTATTGATTTTCAAATATTGTCTTTTATGTCCTGATTTCTCGTCGTAAAAATTAAGTGATGGTTCACTATGCAACTATACTTTTAAAAATAGTTGTTAAAATTCCTAACTTTACTTGTTTCTGAGATTTTGCGTTGGACCTTTCTACCCGCGGAGCTTTAAGCCCCGCTCTACTCTATTGTAGTAATCGCAACATAAATAGGTATGTGGTAAGAGACTTTACCAGAGAACAAATTTCTGAGCGGAATTTAATCCAAACGATTCAGAATAATTAATAAAACAATTTACTCATTATGACCAATTACAAAAATTTAAAAAAATAGTGCGCGTATGGATCACACGCGATTGAAGTAAAACTTATTTGCTACTGTACAAATTAGCAAATTTAAGTTAAATAAAAATTTTGAATAATGTTTATTAGTAATATGGTAACACTCGTGATGCACTCATTTATTAGTGTCAACCATTATACACATTTATATAATGATAAATTATAAATTATATATTTATAATAGCATTAAAAATATATAATATTTAAAAATAATAATGTAATTAAAGTAATACTTCAAATATGACATGATCGGTTTGTCATTGTAATTAGCATTTAGAAATGAACCTTCATTAGAGAAATGAAGTAAATGCTAATTAATAAATTCTATAATATTCGTTCACATAGTAGATATTATGTTCAACAACGACCAAACAAATATTGTTTTCGTAACTTTACTCATCATGTAATTGTATTTGAAGAACTTCATGTAATTAAAATTAACATACATTCATCGTATAATATCATTCTTTGAACAGCTGTAATATTTGTCTTGCCTAAAAATATTTTCCATTTTAATAACTTCAAACATTTATAGAAACTACGAATAATATAGAAATAATTTCTAATCAATAAACTTATGTTTAGTACACGGCCAAATGTCTAATTTGTTTTAATATTTTCAAGGAACAGGGTAAATTATTCAGGCATTTTTCATTAAATCAAGATTTGTACTACGATGTAACTTTAAAATGCTTATCTATGTCGATTTCTTTGTTGATGCCTAAGAAATGTCGTTACAACGGCAAATCTCTATTCACATACACGACGACTAATCACAATCGACCCATATAGAAATGATTTCATAGAGAGCGATTGACGAACAGTTCGGGCGTAAAGTAACTTTCGTTGCATTTCCACAGATTTACTCCTTAGTCACGCCTAAAGAAGTTTTACTTCAAATATATTAAAAAAATATTTTTCAAATATGTTAGGCTTTTTTGGACATAAACTATGTTGTGACCCAACTGCTTATAAGTATAATATACACTACGATCATCTCATCTCATCTCATCCGATCATCATTTTTCAACATTGTAAGTCATCCTAAGAAATGTCGTTACAAAGTATAAACTCATATCGAGTAACAAAAGAATTATATTCAAAAATAGGCTCGATGGGCTCGATGAACTCCTTCTAATGCGTACGTGGAATAATGCATTCTTAGAAATTTCGATCATAGGATCACGTATTTGCACGCACATATATAAATTAATTTTAGTTGATTAAACTGTATCATATCCTAAAATTCATTTACAGCCTAACTGTAACTAAACTATTCATTACAGCCTAACTGTAACTAAAAATTGGAAATTGTGTAACTTTCGAATCTATGACAATGTTTCGAAAATTATAAAAGTATGTACTATGAAATAAATGAATATAAAAAGTCTTGATGACAAATGACATACAAATGATATACAAAGTCTTGATGACAAATGACAAGCATTAAGGGTCAACATAAGTAAGGTACAAAAAAAGTCAGTCATTCATTAATATGCTAAATCTCAAACATATTAAGAACTTGAAGGGTTTTGATATCGAATATAAAAATTAGATAAACAAATCCACATCTAGTTAAATTGTTTATGGTAAAAAAAAATTTATAATCCTAAGATCGATCTAGATGCAAATCAAATTAATTTCCAAGAAAGATTTTTGATTCGCAGAAAAATAGCATCTGATATAGTTTATAGATATAATAATCATATTATAAATCTCTAGATTTATATTATGATTATTTTACATTTCTATAAAAAATCTTTTAATGGGAGTTACTTAATCAATAATGCTGCAAAACTAATACAAATTATTCATAGAAAACAATAACTATTCCCAACTAAAAAAATATTTACTACGTTCAAAATCTGAACACGCTTGCGTAAATGACCTTCAGGTAGATTTTTATGTTTACATCTCTCTAGTTCACATCTCGGCATTTAAAAATACAAGCATTGCTGCAATATTTTTTTATAATGCGCGTTTCCTCGTAGTTTTTTTTTCTTAATTAACGACGTAATAATCTTATTAAAAGATGTTACGCAAGCATATGAGATTAGTTCAGCACGGAAGCCACTTAATAACTCATTTTAATCTGTGGATAATGTGGTCATAAAAGTCTACTATTTATTTATTTGCACCTTGACCAAACCTTTCTAGTCAAGACCAATGCCAAAATGTACACATTTAGCGTAATAGTTGAATAAATTGGTTTATTTTAGTAAAGTTTTGTTAATTGTTTATTAATTAAGACATACAAAACAGCGTTTTTGTCACGATTACAGAATTTTACTGTGTTAGCCAAATTTATTTTTAACATTTTATTTTTTAACATTTAACATTTGTGGATATTATAAGATAATTGACTTCCATTTTAACATTAAAACTATTTATATATTTATATCTTGAACAAACCATTCTAGTTAAGAACAATGATAAATTGCTTTTGAATTGTAAAGGTTAGAGTTCATTAAATTAGTGTATTATAATTCCATTATGTGTTTTATGAATTATGACATAGGAAACAGCGGTTTAATCAACTACGTGTTAAATAAGAAGAAAGATTAAATTAAATTATAAGAAAGATTAAATTACTCAATATCCCGCACAAGGTTCATGAGATTAAACATATTTTGTCAGAGTTCTTTGAAATCATAGAACTCTTGACCTATGTGCAAATAAAATTTAATTATTATATAGCTTTAAATAATTATTTAATAAACTTTACATATTATTTTATGAAAAGGCAGCCCAATAGTTGTCCTTTAATTATTGTGATGATATTTTAACTTTGTGCAGTATTACCCGAAAAAGGCTATTGTTACTTAAAAATTTATTTAACCTGTATTTTCAAGTGAAACTTGTATTCAATAGAGCTCGATATCAAGTTGCACTCAACGTGGGATTTAAACTCGAAACCTTGTGGTAGCAAGGACGAAAATTTACTATTGCGCCACGAACTCCATATATTTTATAAATGTACTGAAAATTTCATTTTTTACTTGTGCTTGTCTTTGGTAAATCGTAAAAGTAATTTATTGACAAATTGCTAAATTCCCTTCTTCAAAATTTTCTTCTGTTTTTAAAGTCTGTAGCTTCAACTATTAATGTCAAACCCCCATTAGTATTTTTCAAAGATTTGGGTTTTAAAGTCTATGAATAAGTTTGATTCAATTGTTGGTTACAAAACTATATATCTTCAAGAAGCTTTTTGAAATTTAATAAACGGTACTAAAAAGTACATGACTAGTATTTTAATACTTACAATTTAGAGGCACATTCTTCGATAAAATAGAATTTCTTCATATAAATTGCTAATAAAAACTGTCAAAACGCTATGTATTTGCGATTTTTGGATATAAAACCTATCATTGAAAAATGCTATCACAACTGCATCTTTCTGATGTGTCATGATAACACATAGAAGAAGTTAGATTTTATGTGTAAAACTCCAGATCGCACGGCAAATACATAGCATTT